GTTAACATGTTAAAAATTTCAATAAAGAGGTACATAGAAAAGAGCTAATTGTCATAATCGTTATTTTTTAACACAAATAGGTAAAAAAAAATTAATATATTAATTTATCTTGTATTAAAAATATATTTAGAATACTTATTTTTACCAATTGTTCTCTTCTTAATCTGCAAATATTATATATTTTACTTTACATTACCAACTCAAAGTTATGAAAGGACGAATAGTTCAATTCAATATTAACATGAATTCGAATTACTTATCTGGTATTAATAAATTAAATAAAGAATACTTTATATTATAGGGTCGAAAAAATAAATTAATAATTGAAATAGTCTGTATAATAATCTTTATTAAAAAAAGGAGAAATAAAGATAGAAATTTATATTATGGGGAAATTTTAAGAAGTCAAAATTTATTTAATAATGTTTAGGAAAAAATTAAATACCCGGAAAAAAAGCTGGAAAAAAATCCCCCAAAATAATTCCCTGGAAAAAAATTCCTCAGGAAAAATATTCCCCGGAATAAAATCCCAAAATAATTTCGAAGAAAAATCTTAGGAAAATAATTACCCGAAAAAAAACTCCCCTGGAAAAAAATTCCCCGGAAAAATATTCCCATATAGACAATTATTCCCCGGAAAAAATTTCCCCGGAAATAAATTCCCTATTTTTTAGATTTTAAATTAAATATAGGAGTAAATAAATCCTCGGAAAAAAAAACCGGAAAAAAAATTCCCCGAATAATTTTTTTTAAAATTATCAAAAATAACCCTGCCGCTAAAATAACTAAAATATCTAAAAAATTATATTCAGTATTTTCTGAAAGTTGAGTATTTATTCTCGACGTTTGTGAATCTTTTTTGAGCATTATTTCTGTTTTAATTCTAAACGATAAAGGGCAATCTTAAAATATGAGAATTGATATAACTTAGATACTTTATAATTTAGTAGATAGCATAAAAGTATATATTTATGACATCTTGGAAAAGCTTGATATTTTATAGAAATAGATTAAAATTATGGTTGCAATTTAAAATTGAAAAAAAAGTGAAAACAAATTTTTTCCTATAAAGAGAGAAATTATTTCCATAATCTGCTTTTCATCTAGATTTCAATAGATATTATGAAAACAGATCATTTAACCACATTATATTTACCATGAAGAAGGGGGAGGGGGTATTTTAAACCCCGCCATTAAAAAGATATTTAATATAACATTAAATATGAATAATAGAACACTATTCTGTTCTGTTCCTTTATATCAGTCTGAATCCCGGACAAAAATAACAAAATGAAAATTTTTTATGTTAAAACAATACATTGATTTTAAAAATTGTATTTGATTACAAATTTTCAAAAAAGTATTTATCCAAATGCTGATTACAAAGGAAAAATGTTTAAGGACCTTAATCCAAAGACTACTTTCAAATAATTAAACGCTACCAAAAATTATACTATTTTATATTAAAAAATATTCATATTTATTTTTATAAATATTATCATTTTAAATATATTTAATTCATTTAAAAAAACACAAGAAGGAGCTAGAGGTCTGCATTGGGTGGGGTTTCGGCCCGCCCGCCCATACCAGCCCATCTAAGTGGGCGGGCGGGTGGGCGGGTAAAAAAATTTTGAGAATGGCAGGCGGGTGGGAGGGTTAAAAAATTGTAACTATGGGTGGGCGGGTGGGTGGGTTAAGAAATTTTATCTTTCCTTTCTTTTTTTAACTGGCACTATCCGCGTTTGAGAAATATTAGTTTTTACCAACTCACTTTCAAAATTACCCGTCATACCGTTTTCAATGATTTCATTTTTTATATCACATAATTTCTTATTTCCCATTTCCGTATTTTGAACCTCAACCATTTCATCTCGTTCAATTTCATTTGAAAAAATACCCCAGAATTTATTTACTGGACCAATCTTAACAATCCATTCCTATCCCATAATCGTCTCCACTTTTTTATCAAAAATCCACAAATTTAAATAATCAACTACACCAGTTATCACAAACGATATTTCAATTCCTTAAACCTTATTTCCGATCCATCAAACTGTCTAACTATCATCTCCTCTTCAATTATACTCTCTTCCGACCAATATTCAAAATAATTATCATAACTTACAATCAATATCGCAGCACCTGTATCCAACAACATAGACAATTCTCTACTTCCTACAACCATTTCCACAAGAGGACATTTATCCTTCTCACTTTTGCCCTTTAATTTTAAAATTGGAAATATATAATTTTTCATATTTTCACCATTTACTAAATTTATATTTTTCTTATCTACTAAATTTCTTAAACTTCTTTATCTCTACACACTGAAAATCTCATGTCAGTCTTTGATGTAATAACTTCCATTTTACTATTTTCGCTATCATTAAGTAACATCTCCATTCTATCGCCAGATGTCCTCCATTCCTACATTTGAAACACATAATCATACTTTCACCTTTACCTTCTCCCCCCTTCAAAGCATCATTATTTTGTACCATTCTTACATTTGATGCTGGCGCTAAATATTTTACTGCCGGAATTGCTTCCCCTATCGGTTCTCTTACATAACAGTTCTCTTTAGAATGTCCCATTTTTCCACACCTTTCACATTGAAATTTTTGATTAATTCCATTAATACGATACGTCGGAACATAATTTTCACTGCTATGCCCTACTCCTCCACATCTATTACATTTAATCGATTGCTTGTTAAACGTCGCACAGTTCTGAATACAATTTATACTTATATGCCCCAATTCCCCACATGCATATTCTTTTGTTGATTGAATCTGTCCCGAAAAAGATTCTCTCTTTCTCAATTTTCCTTTTCATTTCTCTGCAAGCTCATTGGCGTATTATACTCTTTAAAATGATCGTATTCCTTATCATTCATTCGATCTCTTCTGAAATCTTTTTCATATCTTCTCCCATAATTCTCTGCATGACTAGCAGTATTTCGTTTATCACCTCTCATTCCTTGTTCATCTTTAATATCTATTCTTTTATTATTAATACCTTTTCGTTCATCTCCCGACCAAATAATATTAACACTTTTTCTCATTCCTTCTATCATATTTTCATTTAAAATTCTCCATATTTCATCCTTTATATTTAACATTTCTTCCGTCATTTTTTCATTTTCATTAACGTTTTTTAATTCCCTATCATTTTTTTCCTTTTTAATTCCCTTTCATTTTTTTCCTTTTTAATTTCATTATTTTTAATTTCAATTTCTTCCGCTATAACTCTTTTCATTTTACTCCGATGAAACACTATGCTATTTCTATTTTTAGGGCAAATGCAGGAAAGATACTAAGAGAGGGGAAAATGCTCTAATATACACTCATAGACGTGGCATGAACGATCAGTGTCTACAAGATTTGGGAAGAGGGGGGGGGGGGGGTTATGAAAAGTTTGTTTCCATTTTTTGCATTAACTGTAAATGAGGAGGTTTTTAATTGAATTCATGTTCTATAAATAACTTTTTTACATTTACAATATAGCGTAGAATAATCTAAGTTATTCTTTGGAGTATCATTATAATTAAAAAAGGTGTAATTAATAATGTGGAAAAATGACCGCCGAAGGAGGAGGGAAATCATTAAGGTTCACAATAGGTAGAGTGGTGTAAAGGGAAGCCTGCAAAAGGCAAGCACGTCTTTGCATTTAGAAAGTATTTAAAAGGGGTGAAAGATGACTGAAATATGACTGGTGGAAGAGGAATAAGCTAAAAAAAGTAAGTTCTGTTGCCTAGCCGATATTCTAAGTGTAGATGGACGCGTTGACCTGAGATTAGTGTTAAGGATAATATGTGCTTGAAAGAATTTTAGAGATGTCTTTAACTTTAACTGATAAAAATATCTCTCTAGCTTTGAAGGGAAAAAGTTTGTGCAAGCTGTGTGATAAGTTGTAATAGTGAAGAGATATGAGCAATTTATGCGACTCACTAAGCCAAATTAGAAAGAACGAAGATGAGAATCGGGATATGCGGAGTATCTCTACGAGAAATGAAAACAAGCCAGGAACAGAGAAAAAGTATTGGAATAGGTGATGTCTGAGAATAAAAGACTGAGATGGTTTAAACATTTGATAAGGCAAAGGTTGATTGGAAGTGGAGGGAACAAGACCTTGAAGGTGACCAGAGACATTTGGATGAAAGTGCTAAGTAATGACATGAAAAAGTTATTTGACCTAAATGTTAACTCAATTTAATCATAAATTTTTTTTTACTACATCAAAGGCAAATATTCAACAAATTTTACCAGAATTTTTTTCAAAGTCATCAAGTTGTAAATTTGGTTATAAAAGTTTAAAGAAACCTGTAGAAAGGCGATTTGGCTTTGAAACTTTGCTAAATAAGTATTATGTAACACGTTTAAATAACAAATTTTTGAAAAATTGATAATTTTAAAAATTAGTTAAAAACATATCAATAACATTTGTTGGTAAGAGATTGATGCACATAAATTTATTTGGAAGTAGTATTATAAATTACCTCTCAATTTTTCACTTATATTAATCTATAATTTTTCTTATATTTGAATCTAACCTTTAAAATAGCTTTCCCCACTTTTAACAATCCAATTCTAGATCGAAAATTATCTTATATCAACTATTCGATGTTGGTTATTTATCGTAAGGAATCACCTATAAAATCGCAATTTATATATATATATCTTTTTAAAATACCAAATATATTACTTCGTCAGGTTCTTATATATCTGAGTTTAATAAAGATATATTCTAACTTATTTAATATCATAAAGCAATTTAATATTATAAAAAAGACCCCTGCACAGGCATGTCAAAAATCGCCCGGAAGAATTTAAATCTAATTATTGCTTAAAAATCATATGTATGAAATTGTCTTAAATATTTAATTTTTATTTTTCAGTTTCAAAAATCGCCTTCATATTGCCATAAAATTCAATTTAATTTACTTTTTATAAAATCGAAAAATAAATTATGTTTGACATAAATTACAAATTTTTAGAAAATTTTGAATTTTTAACAAGGTAAAATAATTTTTCTATAATATATATAATTAATAAAATTGTAAAAATATCCAACAAGATTAATCTATTTTGGTAAAGTTTGGTTTGAAATTACGCGGAAAATATGATTTGAGCAAATGTAGCATAACAGCCTATAAATAAAAGGTATTTTTTAGAAATAAATAAATATTATATAATTAAAAATTATAAAAAAAATTAGTCATAGTATTAAAGTTGTAAAAATCTCTTAATTAAAAAGAGGGCAAATATAATGTCGCAATATGCGATACTCTCATATGATGAATTTAAAATGATGCAATGATTTTAACCCGTTAATTAAAGTTATAAATTTAACTTTTTAAAAAAATAAATTTTTCTTTAATACATTAAATGGTTTTTATTTTTAAACTATTGGGATTAAAGGCTTTATATTTTGACCAAGCCCGGCCCAGGCCGTGTAAAAGATGTTTAGTCCCAGGAGTCTATATTTAATATTGAAAAAAATCCTAAGCCCATAATAAGTTTCAAAAAATTTTGCCAAACTTATATCCAAAAATTTAATTAATTGTATAATTGAAATAAACAATTAGGCAATCCTTTTGCATATAATACTGAAGATTATTATTATTAGAAGAAAAAATTTGCAATATTTTTTAAGTTAGCAACTCTTTTAAATATGCTAAATTATATAAAAATATTTTAGGTGCATGCGCATTAAAAAAAATTCAAAAACCAACTAAACATACCATATCCTGCTTAAGGAAAAGAAGACATATGTTTTTTTATGTAATTTAAATGATGCATTAAAAATTTAAAAAATTAAATGATGCGTACATATAAATTTACTGGGGGAGCGAGGGAGGGGGGGTAATTATATTTTTTTAGATAATAAATAATAGCAATTCAAATTAATGTGAATTATAAAATATTAAATGAATATAAACAGCATATGAATTAGTATAAAATAAAATAGAAATTTTTTGAGCCTTTAAAATAAATATATAAAATATATTTAAAAAATTTAAATGTTGGAAATATAAATTAATACACAAGTTTCTTAAGAATAATTGTATTTTGTAAGTTTAATGATTTATAATAAAGTATTCGTGAATAAATATATAACGGATTGGATTTTACATCACAAACTTATAATATGTTTTTTACTCATGTTATCTGTGCAATTTTATTTTTTAGTTGGGATTATAAACAGCATATGAATTACTATAAAATAAAATATAAATTTTAAATTTTTTGAGCCTTTAAAATAAATATATAAAATATATTTAAAAAATTTAAATGTTGGAAATATAAATTAATACACAAGTTTCTTAAGAATAATTGTATTTTGTAAGTTTAATGATTTATAATAAAGTATTCGTGAATAAATATATAACGGATTGGATTTTACATCACAAACTTATAATATGTTTTTTACTCATGTTATCTGTGCAATTTTATTTTTTAGTTGGGATTGAGATAATTTTTTAATTATCTCAATCGTGCTTAGTGTCAAATGCATATATATTCAAAAGGGTTAAATCATTCAATCTACTTTCAGAAGTTGTACCTCTTATGTATGTTTTTATTTTTCTTAAATAAGAGAATGGACTCTCATTAGTTGTAATACTAATGGGAAGAGTTGCTTAAATAATAATTTTAATGTATTAGGAAGATAGTCAAACATTTTTGAAATTATGCAAAGTATCCATACCATGTTTTGGGACTATATCAACCATAGTTAATGATAGTTGGCATTTGGAGCATCATGGATTAATTTTTGAAATTAAATTTTGAATCGAATTTCAATTTTATTAATCTAGTTTGTATAAGGTTGGTATTTGAAAAGATTGAAAATAAAACTTAGATGTTATATTAATAAATATCAGAAATTATCTCTCATAAATTTCAATATTAGAAAATTTAAATTATCTGTTACTCATAAACGTCAATATAGCAAACTTATTAACTTTAAGTATCACCTATCATGTCAATATTGCTATATATAAACTTTTAATATTACATGTCAGCACTAGTCAGTATAAATTATAGAAACTTTTAACATTATATGTAAGTCATTAATGTCAGTATTACTAAATAGAAACTTTTAACATTACATGTCAGTCATTAATGTCAGTATAATAATAGAAACTTTTAACACAATACGTCAGTCATAAATGTCAGTATTACTAAATTTTATTAAAATATATTATAACGACAATCATAAATGTCAGTATTATTAAAGGGAGTTAATTTAAATTTAAGTTAAAATATCAGGTTACACCGGTTAGGGCTGGGCCTGCAGGTCTCTGATATATATGATGGGATCGGATTAGTTAAAAAGGTCATGATTGCTAATTTTTAGATACTACGCAATAAGCGTAGCTATGATACTAATCTTTATCATAATCAAAAATTATCAATATAAAAAAACGATCTTTCACCATAAAAGTCCACTTTCGATTTTCAGCTTCCTTCCATACCAAAGATTTATCGCTATAAAATATTTCATCCGTGACTTCATAAGACTTTCGTGGTAAGCAATGTAAGAAAACCCAATCGTGTGAAGCTAATTTAGTCATCTAAATATATTTACAAAGTGAAAAATTTCGTTCTTAACATAAACAACTTTTATAAAGTAAATTGGGTATTGTTTAATATTAAATACTGCCAAGTCGACATATAATTTTCTAAACAACAGCCTAATTTGTTACAAACGACCTATATTTTTTTTATATATTAAGTGATGGAATCACGCGATCGCCTCCGATATCGATCTACTGTATATCATCCCCCTTAATATAATCAAGTTGACTTTGAAAATAGTATACACTTTGCTGAATTCGAACCCAAAATTATCGGATTGGCAAGCCAAGCTCTTACCGACTAAGCCCCAGACAACTTCGAAAATTATAATTTTTTAAATATATTATATGACAATAAATAAAATACTGATTGGTTCAACACTACCTTTGGCAGTACTTATCATTAGCCGATTTTTTTGGTTAAGACTAAGCTTTAGACGACTCTTAGAGAAGAAATCTAATTATAGAATGTAAACAGATGTTCCTTAGTCGATTTTCTATTGCTTAAACTTTAGAAACCATTTTTTTGGGCAAAAGGTCAGCATTAACTAAGTATTTTACTTTCCTTATGCAACCATTCTTATTTTACACATCTAAAACATAATATATATTATTTATGTTTTCTATAGTAAATTATTGCTGATATTAAATGTAATTTGAGTTTTTTGAAATTACTTATATTTAATTTCCATGACATTTTAATCTAGAAAGATAACAATTATCATAATTGTCATTCTTTTTAATATGTTGGTTGTTTCGCCGGTTTTTGAAAAATTGGTCGTTATTTAGCAAATGGTCTGACGGGAACAATCACTAGCTTAATTTAGAGGTAGGGACGGGCCGTGAGATTACGCGTGACCTATTGTGTCATGGTGGGTCACGACGTGAGTGTGAATAAATTTTAAATTATTAAGCGCGACGGGCCTTTCTAAAATTTTTCCCGGTCAAGATTGGGCGTGAACATAAATTTCCCATGAATCACGGAAATTTTAATTTTTAAAATTATATATATTTTCTAATTTAATTTATTTATTTTTTAAAAGAATAATTTTTGAAAACAAAAAATCCTCCATATTTTATAAGGAAATTAGGTATCATGCCGTTAGTTCTATTTTCTATTTATGTTTAGGTGTTTTATCGCGAGACTTTTTGCTAAATTTTGCTTAAACTTTTTAACAAAAAATTCAGTTATATTTTATTTGTAAAGATCTTAGGTCTTTAAATACAATAGAAAGTGAAGGATTTTACATGCTAGGCCAAGAGTTAATAAATTTTGGTGTTACATTGGACAATATATAAATGATATACCTGTGAGTCTGAAAACTCTCATGAATACTATAGCCCTAAAAATATACGATGAAATTTAGATCCAAAGCATGATCAATAATAATTACTTGTTCATAACAACTGATTTTTGGATGGATGACTATAAAAATCGAAGCTTTTTAACCCTTACAAGTCATATTGTCATTAAAGATTTTGAATTAAACAAAGGAAATGAAAACAGGCGTCAATATTAAAAGTGTAGTCAATTCAATTTTAGAAGAATACACAGAAAGATAATTATTTTAATAAATGTATAGATGTGTCACTGATAACGGAGCAAATGCTTTCAAAGATGAAGAAACGCTAGCATGTATATGCCATATACAAAATAATATTATGCATTATATTTTTGACAATTAACTGAAATAGCCTTAAATATATGGTGTAAGAAAATAGTACAATATTTCAACAATCTACAGTTAATAAGCAAGCTAAGCCACATCCTTAAACAAGTTGTAATAACGAGATGGAACCTGTAAATATCATGATACAGAATTACTTAAAATCATATACTGAAATACAGGTGTACTTGTTTAGCAAGCAAGAATTAGATATCAACATCATACACAAGTTTAATACAGGGTTCCCATTCAAAAAAGGAAAAGTCCCAATCAAAAGAGGAAAAGGCCCAAACAAAAAAGGAATAGGTTCAATCCAAAAAGGAAAAGTGTCAAACAAAGAAGAAAAAGGTCCAATTAAAAAAGGAAAAGTTTCAATCGAAAAAGGAAAGGAAAAGTCATTCAAAAAAAGCAAAATTCCCATTCAAAAAAGGAAAATCGTAATTTTTTAAAAATTACTTGTCAATTTTTCTTAATTTTTTATTTATTTTGGTTATTCCTTCTTATTTTATTTCTAACTTTTTGCGATTTCTTTGTTATTTTTTTTACTGTATCTTTTCTCAATTTATTCAAACTTTTTGCGATTTCTTTACTTTATTTTTCTTATTATATCTTTTCTCAATTTATTTTTCTTCTCATTTTTGATAATTTTTTTGTCTTTTTTAAAAATAAATTTAGGTCCTTTTTTAACAATTCTTTACGTTTTTTTCATCATACATACAATATTCTTTTTTGATTTTTTTCTCCTTATATTGTAATCTTTTACATACATTTCTAACCTTTTCAATCTCTTTAAGTCATTTTTAATCTTTATTTTTTTGACCTTTTCTCAATTTTTTTTTTCTTATTTTTGATAATTTTAAAAATAAGAATTTAAAAATGATTATATTTTATTAATTTATGATCATTTGGTATTACAGTTCAAACTTATTTAATTTTAAAAAGGTACATTATAACCAAATGATAATTTAATTTAGCAATTGCAATTAAAAACAATAATCATTCTTAAATTCTTATTTTTAAAATTATCAAAAATGAGAAGAAAAAAAAATTGAGAAAAGGTCAAAAAAATAACTATTAAAAATGACTTAAAGAGATTGAAAATAGAAATGTATGTAACAGATTACAATATAAAGAGAAAAAATCATAAAAAGAATATATGTAGGAAAAAACGTAAAAGAATTGTTTAAAAAATGGACTTAAATTTATAAATTATTTTTAAAAAAACAAAAGAATTATCAAAAATGAGAAGAAAAATAAATTGAGAAGAAAAATAAATTGAGAGAAGATATAGTAAGAAAAATAAAGTAAAGAAATCGCAAAAAGTTAGAAATAAAATAAGAAGGAATAACAAAAATAAATAAAAATTTAAGAAAGAATGACAAGAAATTTAAAAAAATTACGATTTTCCTTTTTTGAATGGGAATTTTGCTTTTTTGATTGACACTTTTCCTTTCCTTTTGGGAATTTTTCTTTTTCAATTGACACTTTGATTGGACCTTTTCCTGACATTTTTTCTTTTTTGATCGAACTTTTTCCTAAACCTTTGAGACTTTTCCTTTTTTGATTGACACTTTTCCTTTTTTGTTTGAGCTTTTTCCTTTTTTAATTGAACCTTTTCTGATCGGACCTTTTCCTTTTATGATTGAAACGTTTCCTTTTCTGATTAGGACTTTTCCTTTTTTGAATGAGAACCCTGTAAATTTTTATCAATATTTAAAGAATGCTCGGATAATCTGAGCGCAGATTCTCGTCCCATAATAAATGAAGTTTATCTATTGAAACAAAAATTAGCAAAATTTTGTTAAACTTCTGAACGTGATACAATAATAATCAAAACTTTAAAAAATAGAACAAGATTTCTTTTAAAATAAAGATTTATTATGCAGACACTACATAAGGTAGGCTTTATTCTAGATCCGAATTTCAAAATTCTATAGTTTTTAATAGAAGAAGAAAAAATAATGATGTATATAAAGCATTAAAAATGCTAAATGATATAATATTAGATGATATGCACAAGTCAATGCCAACTATCATTTATAACTTTCCTAATTCAACCTATCCTATATACTCATAAAAGATATATTCTAAATGAAATATTTAGAGAATTTTCTAGATTATTCTGATGAAGCATCAACATCTACTGATGAAAGCTGTGAGAATGAACTTAAAAGATCATCGGTCATAAGACAAATAAAAGATAATATTTTGAAGTTTTGGAAGCAGGAATATTCATTTCCTTTTTTGAAAAAATTAGCGAGTAAAATTTTGTCAGCCCGGCAAGTTCGGTTTCTAGTGAAAGGTTATTTTCTGTAGCCCCTCTTATTAGAGGAAAGGTATACACAATTGAAATAAAAAAAAGATGGGCATTCTTCTTTTTCTAAATAAAAATTTCGATTTATAGTGTATTAATTTTTTATTGTTAATATAGATTATGAAATTAGAGAAATAAATAGAATAAATTCAAAAAGTGTAAAATTATAACAATAGTTTTGAAAAATTTTAAAAACACAGTGAATCAAAATATTGCCTTTAGTGAGCGGACGGGACGAGTCAAAAATCTTTTGATGGTAAGCGTGAATTTTTTTATTGCCACAGTGAGCGGGTTTAGTCCCGCACCCACCTCTATTAACAATTATCATGATAAACATTATATAATTTTTCATTTTTAAAATGAAAATTAAAAATGAATTTTATATTTTGGTATTAAAAATTATATGAAAAGTAAGCCTGGAGAAAAGTCTGCCTTGGCCAATTAAATTTTATTGTATAGATTTTCTGGCCATCACATAATGCCTAAATTTTTCACAATATAAATTAAGGCTCTTATATCTCGCCTCTAGGATATCTACAACAACCGTTTTTTAAATCAATTGTACATTTGTAATTGTATCATATCATAAACTGTTTAATTTTTTGTGAATTTAATATATTATTTATAGATTTAGTATTTTAGTTAGACTTTTGAATAATAAAGAAATTAGCATATTTTAATTTATTGTCTTCAAATCAAAATATTATCTTGATATTGAAACAAATATCTCAAAAATTTAGATACCGGAACTGGCTTATTAAATTTTAATAAAAATGAGATATTTGAAAGAACCTGATTGATATTATATGTATAAATTGTCCGGGCCGGCAAGAAAATTTTCTAAGCACGACTTATCCCGAAACCTTCATGGACCTGAATTTTTTGATCAAGCCCGATTTAGGCCCGCAACCCATATTTAATAATTGAAAAAAATTCCCAAGCCCATAATAAGTTTCAAAAATTTCCACAAGCGTGGCCCAAGCCTATAGTATTTAAGTGTATTTAGGCAATCATTT